TGGACACCTAAGTGGTTTGTCAGAAGGACAACACACAACAGTCCCACTACTGGCCAGATTCAAGCAAGTGGGGGGGCTGGCTAGAGAGGGCCCTTAGGGTCACTTGCCTTGAATCTTCTGACATAGGGCAAAGAGAGGACCCAAGAAGGTCCAGAAATGAGGGGGAGCATTGACAAGAGTACTTAATGACAGGTGAAGATCGCTGTCTCTTCTAATGAAGGTGTAGGAGTGCTGGGCTTAAGCCTGGAAATATGAATCCATGGGGTAAGTTGGTTATTAGTTTATTTGAGTTTGGCCACTGAGGGGTGTGCACATAATCACCTGAGCAGGACCCTTCCATTTTGGTTTTATAGGGGGCTTTTTCCCCAGTGGGCAATAGTAAACAAGTTGACCAGTTGTTAAGGAAGTAGGGTTTTGAGAGAGACTGGGGTTATGAAGGAGCCAGTCTTGATAGTACCATAGTTCAGAGTGTAGATGGAAGAGAAGGTGCAGGGCATAGGTTTCAGAGATGGGTGGGGTTCTGTAGACAATCCAGGAGGAATTAGGGGATGGCCATACATGACTTCTTCGAAAGGAGAGAGATTAGAAGGTTTTTATGGCAAGGCCCTAATGTGCAATAAAACCAAGGGGGGCACCTTTACCCGGTCCAGGCTTAATTCCTCAGTAAGCTTGGTGAGGGTCCTTTCAATCTTTCTAGAAGCCTGGGGGCTGTAAGAGTAATGGAAATGCCAAGGGAATGATAGCACATAAGCCAGTCCCTGAGTTGTCTTCGAGGTGAATTCTGGGCCATTATCTGATTGGATAGAAGTGGGCATCCCAAAACGGGGGATTATGCCAGTAAGCAATAGATCAAGTACTGTAGAGGCCCGTTTGTTAGAAGTGGGAAAGGCTTCTACCTATCCCAAAAAAGTATGTACCAATACAAAAAGATATTTTATGTTCTTTACTCAGGGCATGTTGGTGAAATCAATCTGCCAGTCTGCAGCTGAGGTATGACTAGGGCCTGATGAGAAGGTTTAGGTTTTAATGGAATGTTGGTATTGGTTTTCTGGCAGATCTGACAAGCGGAAGTGATCTTATTGAGGGTCTTATTGCATGGGGAAAGGGTGAAAAAGGAATGAAGGAAAGTAGTAAGACTCTGTGGACTAGAATGGAATAGAGAGTGAAGAAACTGGAAGAGTTTCTGGGGATCTTTGGGCTGATCCCCAGTGGTAAGGAAGAGTAGCGGAGAGGATATAAAGCTTTGTAGGGCGGGGGATCGAGCTGCTTGATTGGCCTTGGCATTCCCAATATTATTAAGGGAGGAGTCAGTTTGGTGGCCCTTGCAATGGTTTATTCCCAGTTGGGAAGGCAGCCTGGAGGCTCATAGTAGGCCATAAATAAGTGTGGAATTAATGACTGCCATCCCTCTGGTGGTCAATAGCCCCCTTTCTTTCCAAATGGCTGCGTTGGAGATTAGGATATGGAAGATGTATTTGGAATCTGTATACAGGGAGAGGGTTTTTCCCTCCACTAGCTCACATGCCCTTGTGGCAGCTATGAGTTCAGCTTGTTTGTCGGTGGTATTGGGTGGGAGAAGTTTTGACTCTATGATGGAAGAGAGGGAAATGACAGCATACCCCACCACTTTAACCCCTTCGTGTATAAAGGAGCTACCATCTGAGAACCAGATGAGGTATGAAGAGGGCAGTGGTCCCTCAGAAATAGAGGTAGGGCAGGGTAAAATTGTCTCCAATACCTCCAGGCATTTGTGGATGGGATCTTGTGAGGGAGAAGATGGGAAGAGGGAGGCAGGATTTAATGAAGAGCAGGACTGAAAAGAGATAGAGGGATTTTCAAGGAATGAGACAAGAAGGGATAGAACCCTGGAAGGCGGAAGTGACTGTAGGCCCTTGTAAGTGAGGAAATCCTTTAGATGGTGAGGAGATGAGATGGTTAGCGGGGAGCCAAAGCTAAGCTTGTGTGCTTATTTCTGGAGGTCATGGGCTGCTGCTAGGGCTCTGAGACATGGGGGCCAGCCCCTGATGGTGGTGTTGATCTGTTTGGATAGGTAGGCCACTGGTGCAAACGTGGGGCCATATTCTTGACCCTGAATTCCCAGACTTTGACCCTGTTTTTCATGTACAAAGAGGGTGAAGGGTGTCGGGAGAGGTCAGGGAGATGCAGGGCAAGTGCTCAGAGGAGGGCCATTTTAAGGATTGTAAAGGGCTTCCCTACCACAGAGGGTAGGGGTTCATCTTGGGGGCCCTTGGCCAAATTATATAGCGGCCTGATGAGGAGGGATAAATTAGCAATCCAGGCCCTAAAGTACCCAGCCAAACCCAAGAAGAAGAGTATGTCATCTTTGGTCTTTGGTGTATGTATAAACAAAATAAGCTGTTTTCTGTCTACTGTAATGGCCTTTTTCTATTGAGAGATAGAGAACCCTAGATATGTGACCTATTTACATGCTATTTGGTCCTTTTGTGGAGAGGCCAGATATCCCTTTAAGGCCAAGAAATTAAGTAAGAAAATGGTGTCATCTATTGAGTGCCCTTTGGACGGGCTACAGAGGAGAAGATCATCAACATATTGCAAGAGGGTAGATTTGGGGCACTGGGTGGTGAAAAGATTGGAGGTCAGAGGCCAAGGTTTGTCCAAAGAGGTGTAGACTATCTTGAAATCCCTGAGGAAGGACAGTTCAGGTTAGTTGTTGAGGATGTCTGGTGGTGGGATCTGTCCAGTTAAAGGCAAAAAGATCTTGTGATTCGGGGGAAAGGGGAATGGAGAATAAAGCATCCTTTAAATCTATGACCAAGAAGTAGGTGGCAGTATGGGGGATCTGAGACAGAAGGGTGTATGAGTTGGGAACCAAAGGATGTATGAGCCTAACAGTGGTGTTGATGAGTTGTAAGTCCTGAACTAAGTGATAGGACCCATTGGGCTTTTCTACCACTAGTAAGGGAGTATTTTAAGGGGAATGAGCAGGACGGAGGTACTCTTGCTAAGAAGGTCCTGAATAATAGGTTGTAGGCCCAGAAGAGCTTTTGTGGACAGAGGGTATTAAGCCTGATTGGGGAAGGTGTTAGGATCTTTGAGATGAATGTTAACTGGTGAGCAGGAAACCATGTGTAGAGAATCAGATGTGACTGCGTAACTATTACTGTTCTTGATGGAGTCTGCCTGCAAATAAGATATTCTGTCAAGGTATAGATAGTTAACAGCGAACATGTTGAAAGCGAGGTGTCTGCTGTACTTGGGAGAACTTGGTTGCAAACGGGATGTTCGGCCAAGAGGTCTAGGAGGGCGCTGAGAAAAATTTTATTATCTCTTCTTAACAAAGAGCAGAGCTCAGCATGCTCTGGGCCGAGAGTAAATTAACTATGAAAAATGGGTCACTTCTGATTAGAAAGTAAAACTTCTATATGCTATGTTTAACTAGCTGAAAGACCTGATTTATTGCTGTTGGAAGGCTACCTTCTTTATTGCTTATATACAATAAAGGACTTTTTTTTCTGCTGCTGCTTAGCTTCCTCTGCTTCTTCTTTCTTTCTCATGCTGACCTGCGAGTGAGACCAGAACAGAATTGGATGAGCCTCCTCACAGGCATCCCCACAAGGGTGGCTCAACCAATATGACTCAGGAGAGTCGGGGCCAAGAGAACGGTTGTCAACCAAGGGTCCAGAATGGACAGAAGTCACGGACCACCTGGCACCAGGCTTTTTGGTTTATTTAGGCCAGAAGAGGGACAAGGGTGGTGAGAGAGAGAGAGAGAGAGAGAGAGAGAGAGAGAGAGAGAGAGAGAGGAGTGTCTGTCCTTCCACCCTCAGGACCTCTCGCTCATGAGCTGGGTTCTAGAGAGTCCACCCTGATGGGGAAGGTCATGGTGGGGTGTGTTCTCTCCTCCAGATTGGGTGTCAGAGGTTTGATGGACGGTCTCAGTCAAAGCCCCTGCATAGCCCGTCTGAAATTGGATACATGAGAGGGGAACTCACCTATTGAAGAGCCAGTTTGTGAGCAGCGCTTAAAAGAGTAGATGAGGACGGCAAGCCTTGAGAGAAGGGGCCCTCGAGCAGCAATGAGGACTTCCCCTTTCCCGGGTTTTGGCACCAATGAAAGAATGATCAAGGCTTGCTGTCAGAGAAAATGCCCATGTATTGAGACAGCTCTGCATATTTATACAGTGGGGTGTGGTTTGACACTTGAAACAGTTTAACAATTTAATGGTTTTAGCAGCTGGCATGCGGTGTGTTCTAATTGGTGGGTAAGGATCATGTGAGTCAGCAGGACTCACCATTGGATGGCTCTTCTCAGGGGATGGGGAGGTTAGTCTTTGGAGCCGGGCCGACTCCCAACAGTTTTTCTCTGTGAATGTCACATGCTCCCCTCTCTAGTGGTCACTGTCATCTGCAGAAAATGTTTGTTGGGGCTGTGGACTGAGGCCATCAGTGTCAGTTTCACTGTTATCCCCAGGACACTTGTGCTCAGGAGAATGAGGGAGCAATACACTGTAATTATTTGCTTGGGAGATTCCTGAAAGCTGATTTCCCAGATAAACAACTGGTTTCACTGAAGAAATGGTTCTTACCTGGGCAAGCAATGAGCTTATCAAATAGAAGTTTAATAATCAACACCCACAGCAAGAAGCCCCATGCCTAGTGTGGACCAACTCTACCAAGAATAATGCTGGTTATATGAATACTCCTCAAAACCTTTTTTGGCAGACCTGCCTTAAACTTCCCCAAAACACATACTCCAACCCTAGAACCATTCCTTGTCTTAAGACCTATTGTTCCCCTTCTTAACCATATATATGACCCTGCCACAGTGAAATTCTCCTTAATACTAAGACTCCATTTTCTATGACTGAGGACTCGCTGGGTCTTTGGGAGTTGGCAAAGTCAATAAGAATGACTTGCTCATATTCCAATAGAATCAACTGATCCTGTGGAGGTACAGGGAATTTCCTCTCTACTCTCATGAATATGGGGACAGGGGTGGGAGTTTAGTCTTCCTCTAATCTATGGGGCACACTTTCTGCTGTCAAGGTGACCAGGACAAGGAGGATCCTTGGGTGCCAGGCTGGTGGCAGGTTTTGTCTCACTTCCCTGTCTGCCTGTGTCACTGTGAGCAGTATTGCTATCCCCTGTCTGACAGTAATAGTCAGCCTCATCTCCAGCCTGGACCTCACTGATGGTCAGGGTGGCTGTGTTCCCAGAGTTGGAGCCAGAGAATCGGTCAGGGATCCCTGAGGGCCGATTGCTATCTCTGTAGATGATTAGCAGAGGGGCCTGTGCTGTCTTCTGCTGGTACCAGTGCACATATTTATTTCCAATGTTGTTGCCTCCACAGGTGATTTTGGTCGTCTGTCCTGGGGTCACCGATACTGAGGATGGCTGAGTCAGCACATAAGAGGCTACAGAGCCTATAAGGAAATAAAAGGAGAGGGGGACTAATGGTTATAGAAACTTCCCATGAGATTCATTCTTTCCCTCTGGCCTGGAAGAGCTTGAGAAAATCTGTGGGACCAGGGTATCCCCTGGCATCCAAACCAGCCATAGGGGCCCATGAACCTGACTCAGGGATGGAGATTTGAACCCATGAGCAAACCCAACACCTTTTCTCCTCAGGCTCACATAAGCTAGAGAGCACGGTGTGGCAAATTCAGCCCAATTTTAACTTTCAGCTGGTTCCTGAGCATCCTGCCCACCACAGATAAAGCTCTGCTGAGCTCAGAATTAAGGCCAAGTTAGTTACACAGGAGCCTTGAGCTGGGGTGTATGTTGGGGCCTTGGGTCAGCACCTGTGCAATGAGCCAGGAGGCTGAGGAAAAGTGCTGTCCAGGTCATGCTGTCCTGAGGCTGCTTCTTGAGTTCCAGGCTGAGCTGTGTTCCCCCAGGGGCCTCTTATTCCCTTGTTGGCGACAGCTGCCTGTTATGCAAATCATCTCATGTCAAGGCTGCTACTGGAGGAAGTTGTGTGATGTTTAGAGCAGGGCTTAACCCCAGGGATGCAAAGAAGGGAGGAGCAGCCCTGAAGAAGTACCCTCATCTCACAGAAGACTCCTTTACTTGCTGGCTTCAATTGCGGGACCATGTTTCCATCCAGGCTGTTTTTCAGCCTTGAACCTGGGCTGGCCTGGTTATATAGAGATGAGTCTGTCTTTCTAAACTGAACCAACTGCATGGTTGAAAATTGGAGGTTTTGCAAGCTATGGGATACTGTCCCAGATACAGCTCCTAGGCTGTGCGGGTCAATCAAATTCCTCCTAGAGTGTACCTGGTATCTTAAAGGTACAATGAAGTACAATATCACTCTATCCCTTGTGTGAATGCCTCATGCAGATTTTGAGTGCTCTGCCTCACTTCTCTAGCATGTTCTGGGCAGGTTTGACAACCATGGTGCAATACTGACAGGTACAGAGCAACAGCATGAATGATGGCTTGAGGAATCCTGGACCTCTGCCATCTCCCAACAGGGACATTCTACAATGATCAGATCTGGGAGACATAGACATCAAAGAATATGTATGTCAATGTAAATTACAATACTATAGAAAAATCCAGTATGTGAAATCTCCCTGACAGGATGAGATCTGGTATTTGGGAAATGTGTGATAGGTCCAGAGTTTAGCTCTATTACAATGAGCTGGGTGTGGTAAAGAAGAGTCAGGAAAGCAGTAAGATTTTTTTTCTGCCTACAAATATGGAAATTCAAGAAGAGCTAGATATGAGAGAAATGGTGATCAAAAAAATTGTACTTGTTTGAAACAGGATGTGTAGCAAAATGACACTTTTTCCTATGAATCTCAGGGTGTGGGCCCAGCACATACTTAGGAGGCTTTGTCAGGTGGTTCTCTAGTGCCCCCTGGTGGCCTCTCCACATTGGGTGCTTCTTGTTTAGGGCATCCTTGGTCAAGGCGCAGATTCAGAACTAGCCTCTCAGGTTGAGGATTCCTTGATGTTTGGCCTGTGGAGGAATTTCATCTTCATTCTACAGATGTGACAGTATCAGGAACAGGAAGGAGTAGCTCAGGTTTAACAGGAAAATATGAACAGATGCTTTAGGAAGAGGAGGGTCAGGACCCTTCTGAATTATCTCTTCATATTTCTTTCTTTCTTTCTTTCTTTTTAGAGAGAGAGAATTTTTTAATATATATATTTTTTAGTTTTCGGTGGACACAACATCTTTATTTTCTTTTTTTAAGAGAGAGAGAGAGAG